TCATATACAGTACATGTTCGATAAATAGTTTCTGTATCAACCTACCTTATTTCCGCGATATTTTTAGAAAAACAATATTCAAGTAATTTTCGCATGCAAAATATTCAAAAAACAATAAACGCACATTAATTAATTAATGCAAAAATCAGTTTTACAGGCAACCTTCCTTTTTTCGATTCCGCAATGACAATCGCGGATTATAATGAAGTCGTATAATGAGAAAAAATAATAAAATCGTTTTATTATTAATTAATATTTTTCTTATTATATTTAAGAAAATATTAAATATTAAAAAATACATTATTTTTAAAGTTAAAATAAGATTAAACTAACGAATACCAAAACCAAAGTGATGTAGAGATATGACGCGCTTGTATATCGAAGACGTAATACACATAACTGAGGAACGAACGAAAACAACCGAGTTAAATTAATTAAGTCGGAAAAAAGTGCGCATTATAATCGAGAAAATGCGACTACTGTATTAATCTTTAAAATATTGGTATTAAATCTGTCTTATGAATCACGACGACTCCTGTAAATCGAGTTACCCGATAAGAGTAAAATACAATACCGATATAGCCCTATCGTTGAAACAATTCGCTTATTTTTGCTCACCTCGAGTTTTGCTTAGAATGGCTAAAAAGCGTGCAAAATACGTGCGAAAATACGGTATTTCAACACCACCTGTATTGGACGACCACCTGTCTAAAAGACCACTTTTTGAAGAAATCGTGGGTGGGCGCCATTGACAGGTTTTACTGTATTTTATTTTAATGGTTAAAGACTAACTTCACACTTCCACCCAAACATATCCCCATCTTATCTCTAGGATAAAATAGACAGATAATGTACTGTACTTTTATAATTCTAACTTGCAAATATCTCTGGCAAATATTAGGTTTGTTTCAACACAAGTCCCAAAGTCAGTGATTCTCAACCACTGTGTGCCGCAAGATTTTTGAAGTGTGCCGCCACTGCGAATATCCATACATAAGCGACGTCAGACAAGTAGTTTAATTGGTTCTACTTTCCTATAGCGCGTTTGGAAATTGTAACCGGTGTTACCAGTAACTGCTGGTAGCTACTAAGGCTACGGTTACTATGGATGCGAATTCTGACGAAATTTTGTTCTGACGAGTACGTCCGAAATCCTCGTCAAAAGAAGGTGGTTACACTGTGCGCGTTTTCTGATAGTCAGTACGTTTCTGCCTCCCAGCAAAATGGACGAACTTGATGAGTTTTATTTTTTTGGAAGTCCGTTGTTTAAGTTATCGTTTATAGGTGGTAGGAAAACAGAGCATGTTAACCACTTATTTTCCACAAGAGACGATAAGGGAGAGTTCCAAATGTTATTTCAAGATTTGTGGAACAACCCGCAAAAGTTTTTCGAGTATTTCAGAATGAGAGATATCTCTGCCGAGAAATATTTCTGTTGTGATAGTTTTTGTCTTTCATGTCCCACAAACACCTATTCTCGAACACAAGACGGAACTTATGGGTTAAGAGGACGCCAGTCGGAAATAGCGATCAAAGTCGCGAGTTTGAATGAAAATATCAAAATAACAATAGACTAGTAAATTTAAATCTAAAAAGAAGAAAATTTACTGATAAGGTTGTAAAAATGAAAAAAAAAAAAAAATTAATTAGGGTGATAGATATCGCCTATTTGCCATATACACTACAAAACAATTTGCATATTCAAGTGGTTTATTATCAAAATTTGTGAAATTTTGTTATATCTTTATAAATCGTAATTTATTGTTTGATTTAACAATTGTATTAAATTTGACAAATAAAAAATTGCATTATTCGGAAAAAATGCTATTTCCGACTGGCGTCCTCTTAACCCATAAGTACCCACAAGACTAATCAATTTATCAATATCCATGTTGAAAAAACCAAAACACTCGAAATTCAACGTCAGAACGCACGAAAAATCAAACTCGTTTGAACGCTCGAATGGTTCTGACTATATCGTATGTGTTCTGACATGCCCTTCACTGCCAGAGTAAACACTCTCATTGGAAAACAGATATTTGTTTGTTAGGACGAACTCGTCAGAACAAGATTGCGTCAGAATTCGCATCCACAGTAACCGTAGCCTAAGACGTTTAGAAAATGTGACCTAAATAACCAACTGTGTTTTAAAAAATCACTGTTATGACGTCACCGGTTATCCTGCGGTATTTAGCGAAGTAATCGTGTGTGCCGTCAAATTTTTTAATTATTAAAAGTGTACCGTGACGAAAAAATAGGTTGAGAATCACTGATTTAAACTTAAAAAAAATTAACTTTAATCTTTTAATCAAAAATAAGTTTAATTGTATGTAACCCATTTATTAACTCGTAATTCTTATTTATTTACTTATTTTAATAGAGTTATGACATTCGCGCTACGTAACTTATTTTATTGAAAGATATCATTTAATTTGCAATATCCTTAATTTAATGAAAGTAAGTTATTTTCTCTTTTCAATTAAAAGAAGAGAACGTAGTTGCAATTACTACATTCGTAACACATTTTCATTGATTATTTTTAACGTAATGTCTCTCTGTACTTTATGAACATACTATTAAATAATTAATGTAATTATATACACAATAAGATAGTTTAACTTACTGAATAAAGTCATTTTCCATCAAAAAAATCGCTTTTGGAAAACACTTGGAATCGCTTCGCTTTCACAATTGTCAAAAGTTATATTGTTAACGCAACAAAGAAAAGCGTGCCGACGTCATTCTAAGAATAACGCATGCGTCGTGCTTGAGGCTTGGTCTTAACAGTTAATACTCGTTAATATGAGAAAAGTAATATAAATATGTTGGAAGTTTATGTATATCACACTTTAATTCTAATTTGGATGGATAAAATATCACTAAAATATAGAACTGTTTAATAAAAAATTCCAGCAATGAGTTGCTTAACTTTCCCGGCGACATTTAAAACTGAGTGCGTGGCGCTATCCGTTTTGATATTTTATTAAAAACTTTTCATATTTTTAATTGTTATAAAATGACAAAAAGCTTAAGTCCCAGATATGACACATAACTTCCTTCTATCTCCCCATCTTTTTGACTTTTAACCACCAAAATTTAATAGCATTAATGCACTTAATACACAAATATCTTTGCAAAGTTTCAGAAATTTTTGACAAAAAGCTCAAGAATTCTTAAGCTTGAAAGTGGATGAACAAAATCATGCTCCCACACACACTGACATTTATCCTACATTACATTCATTCATATCAACACATTATCAGCAATCATAATTATCTGTAAACAGCTTAATTAATTTATATTGTATTTATAAAATCTAAAATAAGATTTAAAAGTTTTGCATCCGTGATAGACTATTTATGAAAAATCCTCCCAGATTCAATCCATGGTTTTTTGGGTTGATAAATGTCTTGATCACCCGGCTGGTTCGAATTTTGTGTTAATTAAGAACTTCACAATTTTCAACAGCTTCAGTTTTGTTTACTATTCATCCGACTAGATTTATTAAACTCGGTGCTAATGGGAGAAATATGAGGTTTGATGTGAATTTGTGCTCATTAATAACTAATTTGTAAATCTAATTCGATGTACTGTCGTGCCGATAACGTTCGATTATATTATGACGTTTTATAATATTAGGATTTTAATGCATTTAGAAAAAATTTAAAAGGAGATTTCTTTTCATTGCTTTCGTTTTATTTCTCAATTTTTACACAGTATTTTATGCCGTGTTTTTATACAATCCATAGTTACAATAAATATTCTAAATTTCAATTTATAATTAATTTATATGTAATTTTATGAATTGTCGAATTTGATTTAAGGTAAACGAAATGAAATTAGATAGCTATTATGTAATTCCATTTCACATTTCACCCATTACAAATGAATCTGTCCTCTATTAAGTCGATTTTCATGGATATTTTATTTATTCCTTTATACATTTTTGGCTCTTTCCTTCCTGTGGGTAATAAGAGGGCTTTTTTACTTTTTGAGACTGCATACTGCTATACTAGACCAGCCGATAAATGCTCAAATTGATGTGCAAAAAAAATGTGTACGAATAAACGTTCTGTCGAAATGTCATTATGTTTCTACCTGTACATAATATAGGTACTTTTTTTTTTTTTAACTCTTTCTGCCCTGTGGGCACTAAGTGAGTCTCTTTTAGGACGCCCGTTATTGGTTTGGCCAGGCCCACAATGAGGCGGCCGGGTGGTGAAGGACGGGGGCCGAGCACCTCCCGAAAAATTCATGGAGATTCGATCCCGGGTTCCCTAGAGCAGTAGGCTGCCACCTTGACCACTCGACCATCCGGCCGCTAAAATATAGGTATTACATTAAGAGATTCTGAAAGTGGGGCCTAATTAATATTTCTACGAATCGAGATGGATGTACTGTACGATAATTTAATCTCGTAACGTTGACAATTCTGAATTTAATCGACATTTGCTTGCTTCTATATTATTCAAATCTTATAATCGAGATGGTTTGATAATGATAATAATAAGCGCAAGAGCCCAAACGGTTAGGAGTTGAAAGTTGAAATTTGGTACACAGTTAAGGTACGTCATGAGAACGTACACTAAGAAAATTCTCCCCCGTGGGGGAGAGAGACAAGATGAAAGTCTTACCGTGAAGAACTCGGCTTCTACTGTACTATTTTAGATGCCTTTTTTGCAATTATGCGGGATATCGAACATATTTTTAGACCCTTCTAAAAATTCTCAACGATATTTAGTGTTCCATTGAATATAAAGTTGACCGGGAGCGCATGCCCATAAGTTCTCTTTATTCGAACTCTTCGTCTTAATATTCGATTTTATGTTCGAATTTATATTTATAAATAATTCTGGTAGATCCAGCTTATTTTTCGAATTTAGTAAAACCTGAAGAAGAACCCAGAAAGAGTTACGAAAACGTTTATTATTCATCACTTAGTGATGAATAATAAACGTGGTGCGCACCGGTTAGTGGTTGCAGTGAGTCTTATTTATTGTTATATCGGTGTGGTAAGCAGATATCTAAAAATTCTCTAATTAGTCTCAGAAGAGGGGAGACCTAATTTTTGCACTCGATGAAAACGGATAAGATTGGATATAATCTAATAATGTTAATCTTTGCTATCGTTACTTTTTGTCCGAGCAACACCGGGCTCATCTGCTAGTATTTTAATAATACTGTTTGAGATCTGTGATAAAAATATTATTAGTTTAAAATATATTTCCGCAGTTACCATCCGGTTATAAGATATTAATATTATATAAGAAAGTTTTAATAAAAATTCTGAAAAATAATCATCTCTGACAATTTCCGGCAACACTGCTCCCAACATATGTCCTATGGTTACAAAATTGGAATGTGTTGTTAGTTAAGTTTGTTATAAATGAAAAGTAACATTTTCAATAAATTTAAAGAAAGATTTTTCATAGTACTTAGTTTTAATTACTTAACATCGTGTTTAGTTTTTATTTTTTTTAAGAGCAGCAATGCATACGAGTTTTATTTCTATCAACTTTGATTAGAACAGGTAGGACCCAAAAATATTGATGACTCGAATATATTATATTTATTTATTAGTTTCGATGGAGAAAATATTGAAGAAAATCACTGAATGCAACAGTATGAATGCATTTTGCCTTCAAACTGACTGTTATACATTTACATTGTGATACACGTGCATAAGATTGCAGTTTTGAGTGAGGGTTTGGACCTTTCTCAAAATTTTAGAAAATCTCGTGAAGGATCACGCGTAAACCATTGTTTTCCCTTCATTCTTTTTCCATGGACCTTGTGTACATCTCTGTTAAAGTCCCAGCTGCCTTATTCAGAGTAAAATTTTCAAATAGCTCTAAATAAGACAGAGAATTTCCAACAACAATGAAACAGAATTGAACGAAAACAAGAAGAAACAAATCAAAATAAATCCATTCATGAAACCATAACGTAAATAAAGTTTAGTTTTGAAGATCTTGATAACAGAACAGATATATTAAATTGATATTTATCTATCCATGTGCCTCAACCTGCTGCACATAATCCATTCTCAGTTGTAACGAATGTGGAAAAATTGCTATCTTCTGGAAATAATAAATGTCCTTGATATTTATCATCAGAATAGTTGATTTATAAATGTTAATAACTTTCCTATTCAAAATAACATAATTTTTTATTGTATTTCATAAAATGAACATACAGCAACTCAAATTGTAGGTTTTTTTTTATTAAAAAGTCTGTAAATATCTTTTGTGTACATACAATCATGCTTTGTAAAGACTATTAGAAATTAATTCCAAAAATTTATTATTATTATTACTACTATTAAGTTGAATGTTACTGTAAAACACATAATCAACAAAATGATTTAGTTCAATAATTTTTGTAAACCTTGATGGGTTCTAATTTCATTATCTTATAAATTTATAAAGTGGAATAATCACTCCACTTTGCAAATTTAATATTGCAAAAATTAACATATAATGGTTATTAATAATAACATTTTCAAGATAGTCATGGAATTAAATTATGATTAAATGCAGATATTATCAAATACTTAACATATTTGAGATTATAAGTATAAATAATGAGAAAAGTTTGTGATAAAAATTGTTTAATTTATTCATCAAGGTCAAAGAAAATTTTAGTTAAATTTTGTTTTGAATCAATTATGTGAATGAATTATTTCTTATTGGAATTGAAACATTAAAATATTGCAAAATGTTATTGACTGTGAGTCTGATTTCATTTCCATTTTTTATTTTCTACTGATACATTTTTGTAGAAACATAATGGTTTGATTTCCATTAGTTATTTATATGATTTCTGCTCTACTGTTTTTAAGCTTATCTCAGTTTGGTAAGAATAAGTTCAACAAATAATTTTAAAAAGTTATTACATTTAACTGTGCTATTTGTATTAAAACTATTGAAATAAGCATAAATAATAGAAATTAAGCACATTTATTTGTTTTGATATATGCTTATGATATTTTATTCATTAGAAGCTTTCTTAATATATCTCTCTACAAGTCATTTGCTAATTCTCAAAGTAAAAAGTTAAAAAGTAAAATAAACAAATTGTGAACTATGTTAATCACCTATCTATCCAAACAACGAAATTAAGAACCAGACAGAAAAATTGTATGTGACACTGTTTTTACTAAGACTATATATCTGATTATACATTGAAGCAGCCCTACTCAACTAATTTTCAGCAAGGTCTGAATATGGAACTGACAGGTATACTGCCAGTCCAGATTGTTTACTATCAACTATTAAACTGATAAAGAGAGGAAGTTGGTCATGTTGCTGCCTCTATACCAGTGTACAAAGTGCCAGTGTATCATATGCGATGCTATTTATTTATTAAGTCAAAGTATTTTTTTTTTTACAATTAATGAGAGAAATTGCACTCCCTTTCTCTAACTATTACTATGCAATTGGGTGTATATGAATTTAGAAGCATTGTTTGAAATGACATGGAGTTAGGCAGCTCCTCTACTTGTTTTTGATGTAATTCATATGGGTGAAAGCCAAGTGAAAAATGGGATGGTTTGGAAACTTTTAATTGGTTTTCTATCTGCGGTATGAACCACACCACAGTCCATCAGTTGAGTAGGGATGCACTAAAGTATTAAACTTATTTATTTCCTTATGTAATGCAAACATAAATTTTATTCCAGAACTGAATCTATAGAAATGAACAGTAAATCTGGCAATCTTCAATGTGATATATGCAGCATAAATTTTATGACTATACATGTAAGTAATATTTTAATAAACTTAATTTTAAAAAAAATTAAAATTTTTGATTGTGGATTAAAGCTATTGCATTTATTATCAATTCAATAAAACTTCTGAAAATATTGACAAATTTATTAAAAATTTGGCATTCCTTGAATATGTTCTTTACTATCTAACAACCATAATTAATGGTTTTTGATATGCACATTCTTCTATGTTTGAATTTGTTGTAAACTTAATAGTATTTTCTCTAGATGATTTAAATTTTACCAAATTATATATAGAAACAAGTAGCATGTTGCAGTGTTTAACATATATTAGAGTTCCAATTATCCAAGGTAATGTGAATTGTGGGTATCAGCATATTAAGGTTAAGTTAACTATAAACTATTAAATTATTAAATAAGTGGATTTGGATAAAGGATTTTGGATTAATGTGTATTATGTACTCTTACACGAGGAGAATAACTCAACATAAAGGCATTAAGAAATATTTATTTCTCTGTGAGAGCTTTTGACCCTGTTATGAACATTGTTTTCAGGCACAAATATGAATTGCAGTAGAGCCTCGATTATCCGACCCCCGATTAACTGACACCTCGGTTAACCGACCGTCCTGGTCAGCAAATTTCAAATGTCCGCTAGTGATGTGGCGCTACAATATTTGGCTATGTCTTGGCTACTTTAATATTATTTTTACGTGTTTTAGCTGGCAACACTCATTCGACCATGAAAGGGAGCCAGTATTTAAACGAGGCTTCATTTTCTAATTTTTAACGATACAATAGTGACGATTATTATTTTAAAAATTTTTGTTAGGCTTAACATCAATGAAAATTCAACGCGAAGTAGGTTAATAGCGATATACTAATTACATGGGATATAATAATATACTACACTAATAATGGATTTTTTCATACTTTTCGGTTATCTGACTTTTCAATTATCCGACCATCCCCAGTCCCCAATTGGGTCGGATAATCGAGGCTCTACTGTAGATGTTTTTTCTGAACAACTTTTTAATTATAAATTGAAACGGCCTTAACTGAGTCGAACAAATTTAAATTACAAACGGAAATGGCATTAACTGAATAGAATGTAAAAAATTTTCAGAACAAAAATATTTAAAGATTTATTTTAAAAATTGTGTAATGTTTATGCGCATGCGCTTAGACATGTGGAGAAGGTGGAGGGTATGGGGAGGTGGAGAAGTACGGTTAATCAGAATTATTTAACAACTTGTACAAGCTGACCCAAGTTCCAGGTAACTCGAGGGTGGGGGAATTGCATGGGGACAATAGTGTGGTGAAGAGGGACTCCGAAGTGAGCTAAGTATGGGCTATGGTACCTCCAAGTACAAACTTGTCTTAAACATGGTTAAGAGGTCACTCTTCCTCTCCACTACTTTGTGAAACCAAAGGGAGTGGATGTATCCATCCTTCTTTACTGCTTTGTGATCGCTTGTCTGCCTGCATTTGCTGTATTTTTAGTCAGACTGCCTTGTTCTTACCTATTTCTCCATGCCCAAGTCTGCGGAGACTCTTGTGAATGATAGGGATGCAATCTTGGAATTAGGGTTTCTCATTTTCCGGGAAATTTGCCTCCAGCGGGATTACAGGAAAAATAATTTCTTTTCCCGGGATCCCGGGAAATTCCGGGATGAGATAGTAAAATAGAATTTTATATGAATAAAAAAGATCATATAGGAATATCATAAATTTGAATAATTTAATTTATTTTCTAGTAAGTAACTAAAAGTGTAGGGCCAATCTCACCCATACGAACACGTTAGGCTCAATTAATTTATGTTCTCCTACATTATAAGATCAAAGTAAAATAAAGCGTTTCATTGGGAGTTTTAATGATTACGAAAAAAAATACTATTTTACTTCTAAAGATGAGATAAAAAAATAAACTAAAAAAGTGCGATGAGTGATATTTACTTTCAGCAAGTCTCCGCTGTTCAATGATGCGCAAACACAATACATAGATATTACATGAACTAACAAGTAGAAACTTGTAAAACATAGGTAATAATATGCAGCAAGAAACCTCAAAATTTCTCTCTTAGGTGAGTCTTCAAGATGCAACTTTTCGTATAATAAATACTAGAAAGAAAACCTGACATGGTAAATTATTATTGAAATGCGAGATTTCCCGGGAAAATAAAATTTTCCGGGATTTTTCTCGTAGGGAATAAACGGCGAGAATCCCGGGAAAACGGGATCCCGGGATCCCAGGAAAGAAACCCTACTTGGAATGCTCAGGAGTGTATTCTGTCCCATTAGAGAATAGAACAATTAGGGCACACACTTTCTACATAGGGGCTACCACTAGAATGATGTTTAGTCAATTATCTGAACACTTTGTGGTGGTGGAAAGGTGTGACACAGAGTTATCCAGGATGGTATTACAGAATCACCACACCCCACTTTGGGACTGTATTGTGTTGCTTAGGTGCTGTGGTGAAAAGGGTTTGGTGCTCATTTGGGAGTCCCTCTTCACCACACTATTGTCTCCATGCAATACCCCCACTCTCCAGTTACCTGGGTCAGCTTGTACAAGCTGTTAAAGTATTTTGATTAACTGCGCTTCTCCACCTCTCCACACCCTCCATCTTCTCTGCGTGTCTAAGTGCATATGTATAGATGTTACAAGATTTTTAAAATACGTCTTTAAATATTTTTGGTCTAAAAATTTTTACGTTCTATTTGTTTAATGCCATTTCTGTTTGTAATTTAAAATTTGTTCGATTCAGTTAAGACTGTTTCGATTTGTAATTTAAAGTTTGTTTGGAAAAAACATTTGATTCGTATTTGTGCCTGAAGGTGACATTCATAACGGTGTTGAAAGCACTCGCAGAGAAATAAAATATTTCTTAATGCCTTTTTGTTGAGTTATTCTCCTCATGTATGTACATTTGTCAGCGTGACATTCACCCTACGTATTTACATTCCTTATTGAATATAAGAAGTACTTATAAATTATATCATGAAATACTTTTAATTTTATTTACAACTGAACTTATTAAAACAAATATGAACCTACAGTTATAATTAAAATGTTTTTATCATTTTATCATAAGTCACCATACTGTTGTTCCTTTTAAAATTTTTATGTAAATGTGACTGTTTTCAATTTAAGTAAATAGAGATACAATACTTGAAATTGCTGAGAGATGCATTATTTGAAGCTACTACATATCTCAGCAAAGATTTGTAAAATAAACTGTATTGTAGTACTATATTTTCTTGTCTTTATTGACAAAGACTCTTCCACAATAATATGGAGCTTCAGTTACATTGTTCTTGGTTAATTGAGATTCAACTGAATTTAAAAACAGAAAATTTGAATATTGTTCATTTATCTAAAAGATTATTATGAAGAAACATTTGAGATAATCTTGAAAAAATAAAATTTTTGAATGTAATTCTTAATATATTGTTGCCCAACAGAAATTTAAATTGAAAACAGTCACATTTATCTGAGCAGAAACATATTAAATTCTTTCTATATACACTCATTGAAAAAAGTTATGCACATAGAAAAAAGAATTGGAATCAAGTAAAATTTTCTTACTGTAGTTTGAATGTAATGATAATGATAACTGATTACAATATCATAACCAAGGAACAATTGCCTTGAAACAATGGTACAATTTAAAGGAATCATTAGTACTTTTTGGACCTCCTCTTGTCTGGATACAGATGCAATATGATCATACATGGAGACATAGAGGTACCATCTGCTATTCTGTGACACATTTGCCCACAGATGTTGCAACTACCATTCCAGATCCCTCTCATTTGTAAAAGGACTAAGCTGATGTCCCATCTGCTTCTATAAATGCTTGATGGGTGACAAATCTGAAAATCAGATAGACTAAGGAAGTGTGTTAATGTGATTGAGACATTTCTGAGAAGCCCTAGAGTATGCAGCTGAGCATTATCTTAGTGGAAAATGTTTGCCTGCTGTATATATATATATATATACCCTCAAATGTCCACTGCCACCAGTCAGATCAGAATGACCCAGATGCTGAGCAATTTGGCAAAATAGTCCCATCCTACTTCCTTCAATCATCAGAAATTATACAATTAGATGTAGTTTTTGTTTTTGTGATGTTTTTGACTTTATTTAGCTATTGTTGATAATTTTATCATATTTAATATATTCTATCTATTAATTTAATATTTTTGAGGGTGCTGATTTTAAATTTTAAATTTAATTAAAAAAATTGAATATTTGAGATGTTTAAAACATTGTTGATCTATCTGTAATAAAAAAATCTCATTTTATCTAATAATATAAGCCATTGATCGTGTGTTCGTATATCTGTAATGGTATGTTTAGAACAGCCACTACGGGCGCCCCTAGCTATTATTTAAATTAACAATAAATTCAGTTTTTTGCATAACAATGTTAAAATAACAATAAATGCATTTTTTTTTGTTTTGCATTTTTCACTGCATTTTAGTAGGGTATGCCATGAGAATGCACATTAAGAAGGGATTTTTTAAAATTCTCCTCATGGGGGAAGGGTTAAGGATTACCCTGAAGAACTCTGCTTCTACTGTACTATTTTATATGCTGCTCTTTTGTGTTTTTGATTGCATTTTAGTAGGGTATGCCATGAGAAATTCAGTATATTATTATTTTTATTTGTAACTAGCTTACCCTTGTGCATTGCTTAAGTGCATTGCTGCAATCTCAGAAGAAAGGAAATTCAAGCAAACTCGTTATGATAAAATTAAATTTACATTTTATCATTTTATTGAAACTTATTATTATTATTCATTTTCATCGGGAAAACATTCCAAAGTGTCATTTCAATTCTATTTATTTATTGGAGTGCCTGTGGATACACAATAGTTTTTGTTTTTCCGTCTGGTGTGTACACGAATAAATCAGAAGGTTTTCCAATGCGTGAGCCTGCCACATACAGTTGTCCATGCGAGAAGCACGGATTCTCCAAATTTAGCCCATACACTCGCAGCGATTGTCAGAAGTGCGATATTCCCCATTTTTATATATATTTTTAAATCCTTTATAATTTTAATTATTTAATTGCTCCTTCCTCTCTTCCTTGGCATGTTGTGAAATTTCTGATAGTTGGATAATAAACCGTTTTATTGTAATTTGTCTTTTTAAATTATTTTGAGTCGATATTAAAATTTGGAAAAGGGGGGATACCTAGATCGGTAAAATACGCGAATTTCTTCCTACAACTTTGGTTGTTGTTCGGGGTACAGTTAAGGTTTTAACGAAGTTCGAGCGAATACATAATTAGCAAAAAAAGTTGAAATAAAGTGATTAAACAAAAATTATTACAAATATCGTAAATAACAGTTCACAAATGCATATATAGAGATATTTTTTGAAGGGGGAAATGGTCTTCACAATTTGAAATCGATCGAACACACAGTGCTCGAATGCTCATGTAAACGCGCACCATCTATCATAGGATAAATGCCAGAAACCTTCGCGGGAGTGTATTAAAAAACTTCCCAAAGTTTTATGGCAATCGGATAAACGGTGTGGTAATGCATGAAGGAGAGACAGACTTACAGACAGACATACATTCATTTTTATATATATAGATATTAATTTATTATTTGTACCACAGAATGACATTGCTGCTGTTAGAATGCACACTAGGGGGCATCCCAGCCTACTAGTTATTATATAAAGAACTAATAAAAGTATTAACAAATAAAAAATTCATTTATAGAAGAAATGCAGTATAAACACATTGTTTTGTGTTGTTTCAAGAAAAATGAAATTTAGAGAAATTTAATCTAAAGTAACTTTTATTTTTGAATGCCATTTTTTGAAAATTTGATTTTGGTATTTGAATATAATGAATTCTAATTATAGACAACCCTCTTTAAACTGTCCCTCGATATACTACCACCCTGAGTTTTCCATCAAAAATCTTGGAAAAACAATTTGTTCCATAGTAAATTTATAGTGCAAACTGCTACTCCATTTTCCACCATTCACCAACCATGATTTAAAATAAAATTGTCATTTTCTGTACAGAATATTTCAGATAAACTACCATAATAAAAAATTAGGTTTATCTGAACATTTTAAAATTGCTGGGAACAGGAGTTTCCAGCAGTTTTGAAATGTGAGAAACAAGAAGTTTTGTTATGAGTAATGGTTTTTTCTTATCCAGTTGATTGTTAAGCTCTATGTTCAGCCCAAATAACATTTACAAAGCTGGACATAGACTACGTCAGTCAAGTCCGAAACTCTTTAGACTTTTTTGTGCTCTAAATTCTTGATGTAGAGTACATATTGTACTGTATACTACTTTTACACAAAGGAGAAGAAAAATATCCTTACAATCAGCCAAAAGCAAGAAATCTGTGCATATAGTGAAACCCATCCATTCTGTTCTCAAAAATACATTACCAGTCACTTTTCTGTTATCTGGAAGAAAAATGTAAATAGAGGATGGTAGGAGATATTTTAAACAAAAAAGCAAGTGAATGAATGAAGGAAATAGAGTCACTAGAAAAGTGAAAACTGGAAAATATGACAAACTTGAGAAAGCATTAATTATATGAATTGTGCAAGTAATGCAAAGAATGGCATTGTGATAAGAAAGCAAGCAGAAATATTTGGGCAGCAGATGAATATAAGCAGTTTTAGTTATGGCAATGAATTGCTGCATTGGTTTAAACAGCGTTACGGCTTATCACAATGAAAGAAACACAGTAAAACTGCTCAAGTTGATTTGGATATTGTAAAAGAGGGAAGAACTAGTCTGTCAACAATGATAGAGTGGTATGGTATGAAAGATGTGTATAACATGGATGAAATCACTTTATTTTACTGATTACTACCTGACAAAACAATTGCTCATGCATCTATGAAGATATTATTACAACAAAAGAACTGCGACTGTTATTGGAAGTTTTGCAAAGCCTCATTGTTTTAAAAATTTCTATCCTTCTATTTATTGCCAGTACAAACCCAACAAAAAAGGAGGAATGACAGCCTTATTTTTCTAAGAATTTGTTGATTTTAATAGGGATATGGAGAGAGAATTGGAATGTCCTGCTATTAATTGATAATGCATCTTGTCATAAGACAGTCAATCTGAGCAATTTTTATTTTATTTTTATTATTTTAATGAAAGGCAATGGCTGTATACAAAGTGTTTAGAAGGGAATGGAAGAAGGAGGATGAGGAGATAGAAAGAAGAGAAAGGAAGGATCCTTCTGAGCAGTGTATGTAAGGTTACCACTCCCTCTATGATTAATGTTGGCGCACAGTTTTTAGGCTGCAAAGCCATGGGTCTAAAAGAAAACCTGAATTGTAGCATACACCAATAAGTAGTGCAACTACATAAAAGCTAGACAGAGTAAAGGTTAATGCTGAAAACTAATACTAAAATAATACAGAAACTAAGCTAGCAAGCCCTATAAGAAACAGAATAACTTAACATATTACTAAACAAGAATACTGACAAGGACAACAACCATAATAGAGCATGCAATGAGAAGAGATCTACAAGTAAGACTGCATTTTTTTTTTAATTAAAATTTTTTTTTGTTTTTTTATTATTACATATAAGAAGACTAAAGACAATATGAAGAGCAATGGAAGATAGACAAAGCAGAACCTGATANCATTTTTTTTTTAATTAAAATTTTTTTTTGTTTTTTTATTATTACATATAAGAAGACTAAAGACAATATGAAGAGCAATGGAAGATAGACAAAGCAGAACCTGATAACTACAAAGAAACAAGAGATATTTCACAAAAGAACTAGCTATATGATTAACCTTAACTTGAACTATATGATGTGAATGAGGAAACCTGTGTTGTGTATGCCATCAGGGAGAGAGACCAAGCTTTGCTGTGGGATATGAATGAAAGTAAGCATCAATACGTTGTATGTGTCTGGATGAGTTGCTGTGGTGTGCAAGGCCAGTTGTATTTCTTCAAAATTACCACTGTCATTAAGCTATCCCTAATGTTCATGTACCTATTGCAATGGAAAATTAAGTGGATAAGTGTTTGGTCCTCGCACAGTCTGCATTCACAGTACAGGTTGTGCCTGAGATTGAACCTATGCAGATAGTGCTTGAAGTTGTCATGCCCTGTAAGAAGCTGAGTTAGGATGAAGCTAGGGAAAAAGTATGGAAGAGTCACAATAGTGTCAACCCTGGAGATAAAAGTCAATCTGAGCAATGGGAATCTTTCCAGCGAATTACACAGGAATTCTGAAACCACTTGGCCCTAGCATAATAAAATGTTTTAAATCTAACTACAGACACCACCAAGTAAGGAAAATTATCAAAGACATCAATGATGAAATTCCTGTTGAGATGTCTTTGAAATCTGCACTGCGGTTAATTAAAAAATTGTGGAATGAAGTGACATCCAGGACAATGAAAAATTGCTGGCTGCACACTGGCCTGTTCGGAGAGAAGACACAAATTGATGAGGATTATAACAACAGTGTTTGAACGTTAGGTAGTGATCTCAGCTATCTTTTAAACATTACTTCCATAATCCAACTTGCTGCTGAAGAATTGATTGAAATTGACTGTAATGAGGATAATTTTGCAGAGTTAACCTCAGAAGAAATAGTTAATTCTGTGAGAAAAGAAGATAGTCAACTGCAATGAAGAAGATCAGATCACAACAATGATGACATAGAAAATCCTCTAATAACTGCATAAGAAGCTCAGGCTTGTTTCAGAGAAAATTTTTCATTTTCTGAAGGTAAGTGCATCCAATAAAGATGCATGTTGACCTATTGGATACATTTATCTCCATGACTCAAGGAAATAATATAGTTCAAACAACTTTGGACAGGTTTTTTTTATAAGCAAAAAATAATAAATGAAGGAAAGTGATAGTTATTCTTATTTTCCTGACATTCCTATTTGCATGACATTTTTGATAAATCATCACCCTCACCTTTCCATCATGACCTGAAAATCAATTGTGGCAATTTAAAGGGGTTGACTGTATTTACATAGTGTTTAAAACTAATTAATTAAGATAATTATTTAGAATTATCTATTATAAACATGATAACTTTTATTTTAAAAAAATATAAATTAATTATAAAAAAATCTATTTGTTTTTTATAGGAAAAAGAAGAACATGAATTTTCCCTTATGCATCATATTAGATTAGATCAGAGAGAAAAAAACAGGTATTTCTTGTAAGATGTAATCATAAGAATGCTTTTCTTTTATTATAAAGTAATTCTTCATAAAATTTTTATAGAAATTCTGTTTTTTCTAAAAATAAATGTCTTGTTATGCATCCTGCAGATGTCAGTAATTCATATAGTGAGAGAGATATTATCTCTCTAAGTATTTCATTAAAAACTTGTATACAAAATTTTAACTGTGGTTTTTATTTATAAATTTAAATAATAAATAACAAGAAAACTAATTATTTATAGCAAAAGATTTACAAATTTAATTGATATTTAAATATTCTTAGGATGTGCAAATACATAACAAAAACTTTTGATCAGGGTTTAGTTTTGAAAAGAGAATGAAAAGAATGGAGAAATTATTAAATTCTGAATCTAAAGAATGTGTGACAATGCACGAAGTGCCCCCTATGCTTCGGTACCATGGGACCAAAGGGTCGACACTGCGTTTGCGATGACAAAGTTTATCAGGACTGACAGTGGTGTCAGTCCTGACGAACTTTGACAGACACAGAAACCATGATGGACATAATTTCATTTTTTGCACGAGTGATTGTGTCGTAGGCACTTGGATCTGGGATGGAGATGACACGAGAGACAGCACGTTCTAAGAAAGTGCACCAAACACAAATTCTAACAGTAACAAATATCCATTTATTAAGCTATTTACATGTAATTGAAACATAGGTGGTTTACAATTGAAGGGTAGAACATTATGGTTATCTGCTACTTATTTTCTTAAGGTTAATATTATGTAATAAGGGTTATGTCCCCGATATTAACTAATTTGCAAGTTCTAAGTTGGAGAGAGAGAGTTTACATAGCATTTACGTAGATACCTGGTAAAGGATCTGAGGATGTGTTGTCGATCTGATGGATTGATGGAATTCACAACTTAATGGATTGATGGAGGAATGATGCATCAATAGATAATCATTGGAGGGAGGAAAGTCACTTAGGGTAGGTAAGATATCTGAGCACTTGGGCAACTCCGGCAAGGGCAAACTTTCAGTGATTACAGACTCTTCAGTTGGATGAACTCTCCATCAGACGAATGAACAAACACCTGTCGTTATCAGTCATTGCCTTTTATTGGGGATCCTTCCTCTTTTCTCCACTGTCCTTTTCCGGCAATGTTGCAACGTTTGTCCAATAACAAATTCTCGTTGCCAAGTTCTTGGTGACATATTCAATGTCTCATCTTGAAAGGGAAATGACTCCACAGAGGTATAAAATCATATCCTTCACAATTTTAACAATTATGGGAAAAATTATAGCAAGTTTTAATTTCAAAAATTAAATTTTCACCCACAAAATTTTTTTCAAGTCTAGGCTCTGACAAATATATTTTGTATTAAAATGTGGCTTTTCGTTTTGAATTGATTCTTTGAAGATTTAGTTATTGAAATATATAAGAAATATTTCTAACTTGTATCAAAGTTTCTAACAAAAATGATATGAATTTCAAAAATACTAAAATTTTCATTTGATATATTAAAGATGTTGTGTAGTCATGCAATATAATACGAGGGCAAGGTGAAAAGTTCTCGGCCTAGTAGTGAAAAAATGAGTTTTTTATTTTAAAAGTGCATTTATTTCTCAATGTAGTCTCCCTTTAGTTCAATACACTTCGTCCAACGTTTCTCCAACAACAGTATTCCATCTCTGAAGTGTGATTCTGGAAGGTCTTCAAAATATCCATTTACCGCTGCTATCACCTCTTCACTTGACCCAAAATGTTTTCCCGCCAAAAATTTTTTAAGATTTGGGAATAAATGAAAATCAGAGGGAGCCAAATCTGGCGAATAGGGAGGATGTTCCAATAATTCATACTTCAAATCCCTCAATTTTCCCATTGCCAAAACACCTTTGTGAGCGGGTGCATTGTCCTGGTGAAAGAGGATTTTTTTCTTATGCAAACCAGGCCTTTTCTCTCTAATTTTTTCATCTAGCTGGTCAAGATGTGCATAGTATTCCCCATTAATTGTTTGACCCTTTGACAGGTAGTCAATTAAAAGAATCCCTTTGGAATCCCAAAAAACACTAGCCATAACCTTTCCAGCCGATGCAATTGTCTTTGCTTTCTTCGGTGCAGAGCCACCAGCTTCTACCCACTGCTTGGACTGTTGTTTTGACTCAGGGGTAAAGTGGTGAACCCATGTTTCATTCATCGTAACAAATCTGCGCAGAAAATCAGTTGGATCCTTCTTAAAAC